TGGAAAAGGGAGCGGAAGATGTTGGAAAACTCAAGTCCCACTGACTTCCTGTTGCGGACTGTACACACAATGTTTATTCCAGAATATATTTATACTCTTTTAGAAATAAGAATATGAATATATTTAAATCTTCTCTCACTTAAAAGATATAAATATGTTAATATTTCTTATAAATATATTTAAATCCTTTCCCACTTGAAAGATTTAAATATATTTATGTTTCTCATAAATATATTTAAATTCTTCCTATATTTATATTTCTCAAATATCTTTAAATCCCTGCTTACTCAGCAGATTTAAATACATTTTCTAGTTAAAAGATTTAAATATATTTATATCTTTATCTTTTGAAAGAAAAGAATAAATACCTTCAAACCCATTCTCAGTTAATTCAAATTAGCCATAGATTATTAGCGGAGGAAATTAATTATTATTAAAGGGAATTAATAATTATTAAAAGAATTTAATTATTAAAACTTTAAATTAATAAATAACATTAATAAAAATCAACTATAAATTAAAAAAATGGTTAAAAATGAAATTAAATTCTGTTTTAGAAGACAAATAAAATTCTAGTTGGCAACTGATAATATATGGCATTCTGCATTCTGATGTTTATTTTCATGAAAAGTGCTGCATTTGTTTTAAACAAATGCAGCACTTTTGCTGCTTCCACAAGTGCGCAATAAACCCAAATAAATATATTTTGAATAAATATATTTTAAATACATTTTAAATAAACAAGTATACTTTAAATGTTTTAAATAATAAATATATTTTGAATATACTTTTAATAATTTTTCAAAAACAATATTTTCTTATTTGGAATATTTGCAGAATTCAAATTTTCGTTATCTCATTTTTGAGAACTTTGAAATTAAATCCAATTCTTGAAACAGAAAGAGAGAAGGGCGACTGCTGCTGCTGCTGCGGAGCAGCAGCAGCAGCAGCAACAGCCGCAGCAGAAGCAGCCGTAGCCGCAGTAACCGCAGCAGCTGCAGTAGTCGCAGTCACCGCAGCAGCTGCAGCAGCTGCAGCAGCTGCAGTAGTCGCAGTCACCGCAGCAGCTGCAGCAGCTGCAGCAGCAGCTGCTGCAACAGCTGCAGCAGCAGCAGCAGCAGCAGCAGCTACTGCTGCGAATGAAAAGCAGTTTAAATTGTTTTTGCTGCCTCAGAGGCCTCAAAGAAGTACAGCCTCCCTAGCTGCCAGGAGCCCCCTTGCTGCAGCAAAGGCGACAGCAGCAGCAGCAGCAGCAGCAGCAGCAAAGTGCTGCTGCTGCCTTATGGGCCATCGGCTGTTGTGAGCGCCCTCAGGTAAGAGGCCCTCAGCTCTACAGTGGGCAGCTGCTTCCACTGAACGCAGCAGCAGCAGCAGCAGCAAAAGCAACAGCAGCAGCAGCAAAGGCAGCAGCAGCAGCAACCGCAGGCAAAGTCATCACTGTGTCTGTGGTCGCGCAGCTGCCACTGCCCGTAAGTTCCTTTTAATTTGTTGCTGAGCAACTGCTGTTGCTGCTGCTGCTGCTGCTGCTAAAAACCTCCTTATTACCTGCTTTAAAGAGATGGGAACTGTAGCCCAACCGGTTTGCTGCAGCAGGCGCAGCAGCAGCCTGCTGCGCCCGCGGCACTGCAGCAGCTGCTGCTGCAAGGAGCCGCTCTGAGCTGCTGTTGCTGCTGCTTCTGCTGCTGTTCCTGCTGCTGCCTCCTCCTCGGGCACACACAAAAAGGCCAGTCCAGCCACAGGGGGAGCCGTTTGATTCACCACTGCAGCAGCAGCAGCAACAGCAGCAGCAGCAACAGCAGCAGCAGCACCGGCTGCATTTACATACTTGTACGCACAACCGACCACCCTGTGCGGGGCACCGGGATGCTGTTGCCCGCCAGTAGCTGCTGCTGCTACTGCTTCTACTGCTGCTGCTGCTGCTGTTGCTGCTGCTGGTGCTGCTGCTGACCTGGCTTTGCTGCAGCAGCAAAATGGCAAAAGCCGCAGCTTGTTATTAATGGCTGCAGCGCCGGCAAATCAGCAGCACGAAGGGCCTCTTGTATCTGCGGGCAAAGACTGGAGGAGACGAACTGCAGCAGCAGCAGCCGCTGCTGCTGCAGCCTGCAGCAGACGCACACGCAGCGCGCAGCAGAGTGTTCTGCAGCAGCAGCAAACAGCAGCAGCAGCAGCACTGACGACAGCACAAGCAGCAACACCAAGCGGCAGCGCCAAACAGCAGCAAAAAGCAGCAGCAACAAACAACAAGAACAAACAACAGCAGCAAACAGCAGCTACAGAGAGCAGCAACAAACGGCAGCAACAAACAGAAGCAGCAAACAGCAGCAGCAAACAGCAGCAGCAAACGCATGCAGCCCCACCAGCAGGCTTTGGGGCTGTCACTTTCACAGAAAGCCACAAGGGCCCCCACGGAGGGCCCCCAAGAGGGTACAGGGGCCCCCCGGGCCCTGGGGGGCCCCCCTGGGGCCTGGGGGCCCCCCTGGGGTCCCCCCAGCAGCTGCAGCGCCAAAAATGCTTCATAGAGTTCAGCAAAAGAATTGGCAGCAACAGGTGGGGGGGCCCCCCTAACCCTTGCTGCAAGGGTACCTGAGACACAAACAGCAGCAAACCCTGCTGCTGCTGCTGCTGCTGTTGCTGCTGCCTGTGCTGCTGCTGCTGCTGCTGCTGCTGTTGCTGTTGCTGCTGGTGCTGCTGCTGGTGCTGCTGCTGCTGCAGGTGCTGCTGCTGCAGGTGCTGCTTCTGCTGCTGCTGCTCCTGGGGCAGGCTTAGGTGGCGCGTAAACCCTAAACCCTAGCTTTAAAACCCTAAACCCTAAAAGTGCACTTAAGACTTAAGGGTTTTACTGTCTCTTATGTGCTGCACGCATCGCCAGAAACAAGATCTGACGCTGCAGCACACAGCAACAGCAGCAGCAGCAGCAGCAAAAAACAGCAGCACCACGAAGGTGAAGAGACAGATGAGATGAAGAAAGAAGGACACACAAAGTGCAAAACAGAGCGAGCTAGGGTTTAGGCTTTAGCGCTTAAGGTTTCGGGTATAACGTTTAGGGTTTAGGGTTTAGGGTTTACGTCTCAGAAAAGTATTCTTCCGTGAGAAGACAGTGCAGCAAAGAAACCTCCGTCTCGTCATCAAGGACTCTTTCAAGGGTTTGCTGCTGCTGCTGCTGCTGCTGCTGCTGGGAAGCTTCCCCAGAGGCCCCCGGGGGTCCCCCGAGGGCCACATACTTTTGCTGCTGCCACTGCTGCAGCAAACTGCAGCAAAGGGCACTCAGCTGTGGGGAAGCCACCCCCAGCCCGCTGCAGCAGCGCAGCGCAGCAGCAAGTGCAGCAGCAGCAGCAGCAGGGAGACACGAAGAGGCAGCAAGGCTGCTGCTGAGCCTGCGAAGAGTCAAACCGCAGAAGCAAACCACGGCTTAGGGTTTAGGGTTTAGGGTTTAGGGTTTGGGTCCCCACGGTAGGGAAACAGAGTCAAAAAACGCCTTACACACCAGTAGCAGCAGCAGCACCACGAGCAACACAGCACCTGCAGCAGCAGCAGCACCAGCAGCAACAGCAGCAGCAGCAGCAGCAGCAGCACTGACCAGGAAATGAGTCTCTGGAGAGGGGCCTGGTGGCCACTTTGGGGGCGGCATTCGAGCAAAGCAGCAAAAAGACTCTTCGCGTCCTGCAGCAACACAAGCAGACTGCTGCTGCTGCTGCTGCTGCTGCTGCTGTCGTCATTGCTGCTGCTACCGTGGGCAAAGGTACACAGCAGCTAAAACAGCAAGATGCAAGGGCCCCCAGGGGCCTCCCAGGGTACTAGAAGGGGCCCCCAAGAAGCACAGGGGGTCCCCCATCTACAGGGCCCCCCCTGCAGCAAAAGGGGCCCCCAAAAGAGACCCAGAGGGGCCTCCAAGACACAGAAAGGGCCCCCAGGGGGCCCCTTTTTGGACCCAAAGGGGGGCCCCCAGGGCACAGAAAAGGGGGGCCCCTAAATAACCCCTAGGGGGGCCCCCTGGGGCCCCACAAGGAGGCTCTTCAAACCCCCGCTACACATTACCCTCGCTGAACCCCCTGGGGCCCCCTAGGGGCCCCCAAAGGCTCCCTGGGGCCCCCGGGGGGCCCCCACAAGCCCCGGGGGACTCCCAAAGACCCCAGGGGGCCCCTAAAGATCTCCCGGGGGCCCTAAAAGGCCCCCAAAAGACCCTAAAAGACCCCCCGGGGGCCCCCACGGGCCCCCTAGGAGCCCCCAAGTGCCCCTATGGGGCCCCCAATGGCCCCTAGGGGGCCCCCAACGGCCCCTAGGGGGCCCCCAGGAGTCTTTGGGGGCCCACGAAAGCCCCTGGGGGCCCCCAAAAACCCCCTGGGGGCCCTTTTGGGTTTATTTTGTTAAAGGGGCCCCCAACTGACCTTAAAAGAAAAAGAATTGAGAGGAGAAAGTTGCGAAGCAGTTAGCAGGGGCTGTACGTACACCTCAGGGTCCAGATCGAGGGCCTTCACCAGCCGCAGCAAAGGGCTTATGTGCCTGCAGCAGCAGCAGCAGCAGCAGCAGAAGCAGCAGCGGGAGACATGGAGCCACATGCTGCAGGAAGCCTGATGACTGGAGATAAAAAGACAAAAGACAAAAGACAAAAATGAGAAAAGAGCCCAAAGGAGGAGACACAAAAGGGGACAAACGAGCTGCAGCTGCTGCTGCTGCTGTTGCTGCTGTGGCTGCGGCTGCTGCTGCCGCTGCTGCTGTGGACGTACTGGGGCCCCTCCCTGGCCACCGCCGGCGCTTCTAGTGCAGCACGAGCAACAGCAGCAGGCAGCAGCGCGAGTCTTGAGTAGGGTTTGGTTTCTTTTGCTGCTGCTGCTATTTCTTTGAGGTCCGGCATAGCAGCAAGAGGCGACAGCAGCAGCAGCAAGTCTCGCGGCTGCAGCTGCAGCCGCCATAGGGCCGGCAGCAGCACCCGCAGCGGCACAGACAGTGCAGCAGCAGCAGCAGCAGAAGCAGACGCAGCCGAAGCGCCCTCAGCAGCAGGAAGCACAGCAGCAGCCCAGGGGAGGCTTGGCTCCGCGGGGCGCAGCAGCTCGCTGCTGCCACCGCCGCTGCTGCTGCTGCTGCTGCTGCTGCTGCTGCCAAACAGCGCCAGCAGCTTCGGCACATGACACAGCCGCAGCTCACAGGGGGCCCCCTTTCCCTTGTGGGCCCTTTGGGGGCCTTCCTTGGCCCCCAGGGCTTCGGGCTGGCAGCCAGCAGCTAGCCGCATCACGTGCTGCAGCAGCAGCAGCAGCAGCAGCACAGACGCAAACCCAAACGTAGCAAAGAAATCCCCTTGAAACGATACCCGCAGCAGCAAAAACGCCGAGAAAAGTAAACATGGCAGCAATAGCAGCAGCAACAGCAGCGGCGATAGCAACAGTAAGGACAGCAGCAGCAGCAGCAGATAAAGCAGTAACAGCAGCAAACGTAGCAGCAGCAGCAGCAGCAGCAGCTTCCGAAGCAATCTCCGCAGCTCTCAAACGTTTCTGAGGGCCCCCCAAAGGCTGAAAGACCCACAGATGGCTAGCAGTAGCTAGCCAGGAGGTAGCTAGCTAGCCAGCTAGCTAGCCAGTCAGCTGAGCAGCTAGCTAGCTAGCTAGCTAGCCAACAGCTAGTTGCTTACGTGCTGCAGCTGGTAGGCGCCGAGCAACGAGGGCCCCCAGCTCTGCTGCAGCGCTGCGCAGACCTGCAGCAGCTGCTCCAGGTCTGCATGCAAAGCAGCAGCAGCAGCAACAGCAGCAGCAGGTGCAGCAGCAGCAGATACAAAGCTCACTAGCCAAGCTACAGCTAGCTAGCTAGCTAGCTAGCTA